TGACAATTGGTTCCAGATCTATAAAAACTGCTCTGGGGAGATGTTTATCAGCTCCTGTTTCACTGAAGGTCTTGAAGGAGTCATCTTTTTCCCAGTGGTCTTGTTACTTGGTATCTGTCCATCAGGCTGGATACCATGCCCTAGGCAGTACAACTTCCAGCAGGAATTGCCATTCTGGACACCAGCTTGGCCAACATGGATAGAGATGCACTCATGCATGGTGGTCAATGGGTTAAACAGCGTTTATGTCATCAGAAGCAGGGATACCTGAGTTCTTCACATTTAGAGAGTTAGACATAATCTCAGAAAAAAATATTCTAAATAGGGTTTATGCTGTTATAGTCCCTCAAAACTGATCTCTCTTCTAAAGGTCCTTATTTCTGTTTTATGCACTACCATCTTTCCATTGGGGCAGATAGGTAGTGCAGTGAATAGATAGCTGGGCCTAGAGTCAGGAACACCTTAGTTCAAATCCAGCCTCATTAGATGTGTGACCCTGGTCAAGTCACTGAACCTTGTTTACCTCAGTTTCTTCATCTGTAAAATGAGCTGGAGAAGGAAATGGAAAACCACTGTAGTATCTTTGTCATTTGTTGTACTTTAGTCATTTTGTTGCATTGACTCTTTGTGATCCTATTTGGGGTCTTCTTGGCGAAGATACTGGAGTGGTTTGCCATTTTCATCTCCAGCTTATTTTACAGATGAGGAAGCTGAGACAAACAGGGCTCAGTTACTTTCCCAGTGCCACACTGGCTAGTAAGTGTCTGAGGCTGGATTTGAACTCAGGAAGACTCATTTTCCTGACTCCAGGCCCGGTGCTCTATCCACTGTACCAAGAAAACCTCTAATGGGGTCACAAAGAGTCAGACATGATTGAAAACCACTGAACAACATCCTGGCATCCACCCAGGTTGACAACTTTTAAGTCATCCTTGATTCTTCCCTCTTCTTCAATTACCACATCTAAATGTAGTAGCATCTCTGGGCAATTTTCCAACTCCCACTTGCTTTGCCAGAATGGGACCCCAGAGGATGACTGATTACTTTTCCCTTCAGTGTTCTAACCCTGAGTGGTTTAGGGGTATTTCCTAATATTGTCACACATAAGCCCCTATCTAGTGTGCTCCCCATCTCTAATTATCACTTCATCACTTCACCAGGCAGAATTAAGTAGACTTTAGAAAGGGGTATTTATTCAACAGGTATAGCAAGGATAGTTGTTATATTAAAAATTCTCTGTAAAGTCTGAGGTCAACTCTCCCCTTTCCCAAGCAAGTTCTCTGGGGACAGTGAGATCAAAATTAAAAAAGCACATGTGGCAAAAGGGCAACCCACAGTACCTGATATCTTTTAGTCCTATTCTCCCTTTGTGGTGACCCCATGAAGTTCCCTTTGCGTATGTATAAATTTCCTGAGAGTCAGGGCCCCTTGTGTATTTAGTCTGTCTTTGTCTACCCATGCAGATGATGCTGTTAGCCATGGCTATACTGGGGACACTGTTACCAATGCAAATGGCTTGGTAAATCTTTTTGCATTTTGAAGTTCAAAAGGTCATTCTCTGGTCAAGAAGAGGTGAGGAGGGAGGGAACATAGACTCTACCCCAACCCAACTTTCAAACAGTTCTGTTCCAGGGATCTGGCCCAAGCTTTTCTACAACTAGGCTAACTTCTACAGAAATTCCTATTTCTTCACTGGCTTGATGTTTTATCCAAGCCCCTTAGGGCATGGCTGATTCTTGTTCATCAGCCATAAAAAATTACCTATGTGGCTTGTGTACTTTGATTCAGACTATACCTACTTTATTCACTGAATTGATACAGTAGAGGCATCTAGGAATTGTTGACACATCCAGTTTAATCTCTGTGATTGATTTTGTAAATAAGAGATATACTCACCTGCTAAAGCTTTAGGGTATAGACCATCTTGTTAGTTGCATTAATTAGAGTGGAGGGCTATGGGATACCAGTCCTGCATAATGATTTACTAAAGCTTCAATGAACATCTTTCATACCTATTCTTTTCTCCCTGGTTGCACAGCCACCAACCTTGTTCAGGACCTCTTATCCAGACAATTATAACTTCCTAATTGATTTTCCGGCTTTCAGTCTCTCCCATCATCAGTTTGTCTTCCACATAACTGAGAAATTGACATTCCTAAAACATAGCTTTGACTTTATTGCTTCCAACTGCTTGTTGGATCAAATATAAGCTACTGTGTTCGGCATTTAGAGATCTCCATAACCCGGCTCCCTACCTTTTCAGGCCAGCTTCTTAAAATCCCCTTCATTTTCTGTCACGATCAACTGGTCTGCTAGCATTTCCGTCTTCTGCTCCTCCATCTTTGTACAGGCTTACATACTGCTTGATAGCCAATCCTACCAGAGGCCTTTCTTGATTTCCACCATCCTCCCCCAGTTGTTCATGTTCTCTACAACTTGAAATTATTTTGCTGTATAACTTATAATTATTATCCATATCAGGTTTTATCCCCCCCCCCCGCACCTCCTAGTGGAATATAAGTTCACTGAAGGCAGAGACAGTTTTATTTCTGCCAATTTATCCCTGTAACTTTTGTACAGAGCTTTAGACCATGTAGGAGCTTAAGAAATATTAAGTTAAGTTGAATACAGAGATTGGGATTTGGTTAGGTAAACTTATATAGTCATAGCCAAGGAATAAGCCATTTGGGGTTGGGCACTGAGTTTTCTTGTTCTTCTTTAATTATGATTGTGAAAAAAAAAACAGGTAAAAATAGGGCTTAGTGGAAGCTTCTCATAGCAAGTCTGAAAAGAAAAAAAAATAAACTGTGGAAAAAGAAGATGAAATGAGAATAGAGGGAGTGGGGATAGAGAAGAAGTCAGAAAGAAGGGAAAACAATAGATGTGGCACTGAGAAAGAACAGGGGAGCCAAATTAAAAAGGGGATTTTCAAAAGCAACAATTCAGAGAAGAGAAATTATACATCCCTCTCTTTTTGAAGCAATGAGAGATTATAGGTATGTAATATTGCACATACAAAGTATTCCAAAAGTCTTGGTTATGTAAAAGCTTGAAACTATACTAACCTGTACTGTTAAGGAGATGTATATGTATATGTATATGTATATGTATATGTATATGTATATGTATATGTATATGTATATGTATATGTATATGTATATGTATATGTATATGTATATGTATATGTATATGTATATGTACTGCTTTATTTTCTTTTCTAAAAATCCTTGTTACAAGCATCAGTTGCTCATCAGCTAATGAAGTGGGAATAAATAGATTCTGAAATGAAGGTAAGATGAAAACAAAAGTAACTATATGTTTATATATAATTCATATTATATGTAATATAATATGATTATATAGAAATATCAGATATATTAATATATTATATATACAATAGTAATACAGTAATAATAAGAATTAAAAAATCAGAGACACTAATCTGGCCTAAATATGTCTCCCTGTGACAAATTAGAAAAAAAAAGTTTATTTTTTGGCTAATCCAAGGAAAATTATTCTCTTAATTTGAATAGTTCCATAAGTCCTTTAAATTTTAAGATTATTATGAGGCAGTTGTTTAGGATTGTGCTATCTAATTTTTTCGCTGAAATATGTGTTTAGAAAAGGAGAGATGATGGCCCTGTTATTTTATCAGGCTGTGTGGAGAAGATGAACTGCCAATTTGAGACAGCAGTTAACATGTCATATGAGCTACCCAAATGGCAATTATCCCAGAAACCTCAGACAACTGGCTACAAAGCATTTCAGTGTTCATTTTATAACACTTTGGCTTCTTTTCTTAAATGATTAGAAGAGCCTTCATATTCTTCAACTCTGATGCCAAACAATATTAGGCCTTTCATTTAACCAGATGAGTACTTTAGCAAAATAAGTTTTTGAATATACGTGTGTGTGTGTATGTGTGTGCGTATATATAATATGATAGCTATCTGAATTATTGAGATGGACCTATCTATCCACCCACAGTAACATGACTAGCAACACATGTTCCTAGCTAGGTACTCTTTCTAAAGAAATGCTATTAAGAATCAATAAATCTGAGGATCAGTGCATTCTATATTTAAGATTTTACAATGATATTAATCCTTCTACTCTCACTTTCAGTTATCAAGTTACATGATCTATAACGTATTTAAATCCCACCTAGACTATTCCAAATCCCTGGTCTGAAGGAGCTCAGCCATATATCATATAGATGTGGTATGTAGTTAAATTATATAATTATGTTACTGTAGTGATATAAAACTTGACAAAGTACAAAACTCTATTCAAGACTATTATTATTGTTGTTATTATAATTCCTCCTCCTACCTTTCAGGGCCTAGTTGCCTGGGGGTGGTGGAACAGTTAGTGTTGGACTCCCTCCTGCAAGAGAATCTTAGTCAGTCCCCAGAAGCTTGCAGAAGAGCTATGTCATTATTACTTGAAATACCTACATCAGAATGAAAAAAATCATGAAAAGTCCAGGGGAATAGATAATCAAGAGAAGTCAGAATAGGGAAAATAAAGAAACTAATCATGGCAATAACATTTGCAAAAGTGAAGGAAAAATTGAATTGCTGATAACACATTTAATTATGGAATTTAAGATTTTTTTTAATATCAAATATTTACCAAATGAAATCTCTATGTTTGCTCATTGTAACTTTACGCCACTAGATGTCAGTGGTCACTAAGGAACGACTCTTCGGTATAGGTGTCTCCTTTTAACATAAAGCCGTGAGACTCATATGGGGAATACTGTCACATGTTCGTTTTCATTTTTCCATGTTACATTAGCTCTTCAATAAATATGTATTTTTTTCTTTCTTTATCTAAGTCTTTCTCCCTTTAATTAGCAAATAGGAAATTAAACATAGCAATCTCTAGCATAGAAATCAAGAGATTAATCATACAACTTATAGGAACATTCCAGAAGTATAGCTCATAGTTTTGCCGTATTTTATGTTTTTCCCTCTTTTTGATTTTTCTTACTGCAGCCATTAGATTTTGAAACAAAAAAGGCATATACTTTCAAAGTAGAGGCTTCCAACCTTCATCTTGACCACCGCTTCCACTCAGTGGGCCCTTTTAAGGATACAGCGACTGTGAAAATAAATGTGTTGGATGTGGATGAGCCTCCAGTGTTTAGCAAGCCCCTCTACACCATGGAGGTTTATGAAGACACGCCTGTGGGGACCATAATTGGAGCTGTCACTGCACAAGATCTTGATGTTGGCAGCAGTGCTATTAGGTAAGGAATTCTACTTCTCTACTGCAATCTAGAAACCATATTTGTTAATGAGACAGCCTTTTGAGGGAAATCACTCATATGTACTAATACATGTTAAATATCTATGCTAATCTGTTGAAGTAATCAATAATCTCCTTGTTCCCTCCCATAACCTAAAGAGATATTTTGAAAACAAACAAACAAACAAACAAATAGATATGCTTACTCCTGTGCAATTAATCACTATGGCAACCAAGTTTGCCAGGTTGCTCTGGATGGGGAGAAGAGACACAGCCAAAGTCTTCCCTAGTATTAAGTCCCATCAAGTTGTGATTAGATTGATGATGATGCCTTAGGGAGATAGTATCTGTCAGCAAACACAAAAGCACACCTGAAACTCATGGACATATTTATAAAATAAGACCATAATTCCCCCACTGAAACCAAGGTATAACCAAGACTTTTTCCACTTGTCTCAAATGCTATCTGTGTAATTTCATTCCTGCTTAACAGATTTTCCTTAATGTTTATTTATACTGAATTTCCTATTTGGAGAGGTCAAAGAGGAAAGGCATATAGTGTGATTTGCATTTTAATCCACACCCTCAAAGGTACATCTGTACCTGGAAGAAGCCTAGAAGACTTGTGCTATGGTATTGAACCTAGTTCATTCCTCAGTACAGACCTCATCTCCTGACCACTCAGACTATCCACATCCTGTAGGACAGGAGAGTAGAGGGAAGAATTTGCCTTTCTCCCTCATCTTCCCTTCATTCCTTTCCCATCTTGAAATTGCACAAGTTCCATGAGGCACCAGGGCTAGGAGAAAAACATAGATACTCACATTGCTTGAATAATCTGGAAGGAACACATTCTAATCCTTCTTATGAAATGGAAGACCTCCAGGCCTTGACATCTGTCACTCTGTCCTTACATTCTGTCTATATGTTACCCTGTCTCTATGTACTCCACTCCATCCAAGATATTGTCATCCAGTCTACTAGTGGGAACCTAATGAACCCCAGTCCAGGCCATTTGCCTGTAATTACACCTATAGAGCTTCTGGATCTTGCTATCTGCCCTGAAACTGGGCTTGAATTTATGATTTCTCTCCCTCAATTAGAGTGTAAGCTTCTTGAAAATGGGTACTGCCATGCACAGACACACACCTACACACAAACACAGATACATATATATTTATACACACATACCTATACACAAATATATCCATTTATGTTTAATTGAACATCCATTGTTTAGGAAAATATGTGGTACATAATCATTTAAAGAATGCTTTTTCATTCATTCATCATGGAAACAGCTTATAAAATATAAACAAAGTCCTCCTGAGATTACATGTTATAGGGCAAAATGGATAATAGCAATAGGAGCCACGGGTAAGCTGAATACTGAGCGTAGGGTTGTTTTTACCAAGAATTTCTAGAGAACATTTGCCTGTTCCTTGCTCTTGAAATTATCTCTTAGACTTATATGACTGTTCTTTGCTGATATACTTCTGACATATTGAAAAACCTCCAGATGATTATATCTGGGACCTAATTCATTTCTGGACTTGAAAAGCCTGTTGGGAATCATTGTTTAGGAAATAGAAAGTGGCCTAGTGAATATGGAATTCAAGAGAATTTCAAGAAATAGGATAGATAAAGTGATCAGTGAGGAGGGAAAATGAAATAAGCAATGTGGAAAAGTAAAAAATAGTGGAGGGCCTTGAAACTAAAGTGTTAAATACTACTGATGCTTCAAGAATCTGTGATTTCATCCATGTAGATCCTCCCTCCAAGAATAAAGAAAGAAATCCCTCTAAAATTTAAGATGTTATCTGTGAGAACTGATATAGAAAAACAAAACAAAACAAAAACAAACCAACAACAACAACAACAACAAATTAATCATCAATCCGGTAACAAATCAACCTGGTAAGGCCAACCCGGTGAAAAATCTTTACAAATTACTCATACCGGTGTGCCACCAAATCCATTCACAAAACCTTTCCAGCTTATTATGGCCTGCAGGAATATATGTTGTTTTCATAGCCTTCAGGAATCTAGGGACCATGTTGAAATATCAGCATAGCACTTTAGTGAAGGAAAATATTTAATATTATATAAAATGAAGCATTTCCCTATTAAAAATTCAAATCAGAGAATAACTTATTAGCAAGTAGTGATAATGTAGGAATTAACATATAGCTAACACATACCCCCTTCCACATCACTGTATGAATACAAGGTGGTATTAGTATTGATAATAACAAATATAAGTCAAATACTAAATATGTTTTAGGGTGTCTGTGGCATTTTACTCACTCCAATTCCATCACCATTTCTATTCATAATATTAATGAAATTTTATGTATATTTTGTGTGCATATATATATATATATATATATAAATACAATAGAAAAAGAGAGAGAGAGAGAGAGAGAGAGAGAGAGGAGAGAGAAGAGAGAGAGAGAGAGAAGAGGAGAAGACAGGGAAGAGAAGAGGAAGACAGAAGAGGAGAGGAGAAAAAAAGGAGAGGAGAGGAAAGGAGAGTGGGGAACAGTGATTTGAAATCATCAGTTTAAAGTATAAATCTGACAGGGTTTACCTAAAGAACTGGTTGTGTTGACTGGGTATGGTATAATTCTGAATCACCTAATTGCTGAAATAGTGCTTAGGTTATAAGCTGCATTCAGAAAGGGAATAATCAATATTTTCCTGAAAAAGACAGGCTGAATATCAGCTATAGTTCAGTGGAGACCAATAAATATCAAGAGAATCTCAATGAAGAAAGCAAATCTGCTGATATAACTTGCTCATCTGCTGATGTCATTGACATGGCAAGAATGGCATAGTTGAATCTTTGTAATGAAATATATTTCTCCTCCAGCACCAGGTCCTCCCAGATATTTGATTTGGATTAAGGAAATTGCTTTCAAACCTCATCATGACCCTGGTAGTTAACACTAAGGCTATGCAGATTACCATGATAGCTTTATGTAGACTAGGGAGGAGTAAGACTCGGGAGGAACTTGGATTTGGTAATTTTTGTTATGCAAAATTGCAGCAATATTCAAGTTGCTGCTTTTCCTTCAAAAAAAAAAAAGAGAAATATTAAAGATGAAGTGGGAAGGAAAGTAAAAAAAAAATAGAGAGACTTTGAGGTTAGGAGTGGAGGGAGGGTGAAAATAATTCAAAGAAGAAAAGAAATGGCTAGAGTCATGGATTTGTTGCTAGATATAAAGAAGACATGCATTTTATAGATACTCACCTACCACAAGCTCATCTTTTTTATATCATTGAGGCTCAGAGGTAGCTAGCATCTGACAGGTATCAAAAGGCTTATGTGCAATGAATTGACAGCTATACCCTGGTTTCTAAGGGGCAGGTGCCAGCATAACTAAAACCACAGATCCAGACAGAACTAATTGACACCCATGAGGGAAATTTCAAAAGGTAGAGCAGGTTTTGAATCAACATGAAGCCTAACCTTTCTATCCTAAGAGTAAACAGCAATCTTGAAACAACCCAGTGGGACTAGCATAGGTCATGTACTACCTTTTCTCACTACAGAGAGAGATTTTCAGGCACAGGAACTCACAGCACAATCTCTTTATGTAAAGTAAGTTTTTTTAAGTATTTGATTTTTTAAAAGAAATATTAGTATGTATTTTTTCTCTCCTTTCTCCCCCCCCACCTTTAAATGTCAGGTTAATGACAGACAAGTTGTGAACCTGAATAAGGCAACCTGCTGACACTGAGTGGTCTCTGAGGGGGTTGTTGATTGCAGGCCATCATGCCTTGAAATATGTACATCTATTTTTTCTTCCTTTTCCCCCATCAGTTTCTGTAGCTTTTCTTTTTCTCTTCAAGATTTTCACGTCTATTCTTTCATCTTCTTCCTTTTCTTTTTTGTTTCTGTTTCTCCGTTTTCTTTGGCTATGCTACAGATTAGCCAGTTTTATTCAGTGGTCCCCTTGATTAAGAGGCATTGCGTAACTTCACTGGTGGAACTTAGGTTTAAGAGGTTCCTAACTACTATTAGCCTTTCACTTTTGAAATTCATGGTAAAACAGTAAATGTTACCTATGAAAATGGAGGGAATATTAATTGATAATTTTAATAGTCTTTGACTTTATATTTCCAATCATATATAAATAAGGCTGGAATAAACTAATACAAATTTGGTCAGAGGCTATTCCATTCTGGACGGCTCAGGAGCATTCAAACACCAACCTTGATCTGTGTGATTTTTGCCTGATGTTCTGGCTCAGGTTCTGCTCTTCATTATATCTCTCTTTTTGTTTTCCCCTTCCAAATGAAAACTTCCATAGAGGACATGATGATCTTATACTATTTTCCCATTCAAATATAAACAAGTATCTTTCTTTTGGTTTATATTTACAAAAAAATGAAGGTGCATTGCTATCCTCAGGCATAATACTTGTAAAGTGTTTAGCACAGTGTCATTTAGGAATATTATTGCATTTATCTATCATAAGTTCAAATTTTATTTTTACATATTTGTAATATCTCAATAAATTCTAAAATAAATTATTATTATGCATTCTCTAATATTCAGAGAGGTATTAGGGATCATCTAATCCAATCTTTTTGTTGATGGTGATACTGAAACACAGTGAAAGACTTGCTTACATAATATCACTGGGGTAATCATTTCAATGCAGGTCCTCTGACTCCAACGTCGGTGCCTTTGTCTTAGCAGTACCACACTGCCTCCATATGGTTCTATTTAAATTGGATAATTTAGTCATGATGGTGGTGGTATCTGTGGAAGAAAAATTAGGATGTCAGAGGCCATCGAGTTTAACCCTAGTCTGAAAAAAATCCCTACTATAACAGATCTGATCAAAGGTTATATTCCTATAGGAGCATCTCCAATGGGGGTGGCGTATCTTACCACTTCCTTAACTAGAATAATAACTACATCTACATTTCTATAGTGTTTTAACATTTGCCAAGTGATTTATATATTTTAACTCATTTGATACCCATGAT